CGTTCGCTTTGTTCTCCAGAGATGCAGTGACCCGCAGGCGGCACACAGAGTGGATCGTCGGCAGCGTCGGAGGTGTATAAGAGACAGGAGAGAGAGAGAGAGAGAGAGAGAGAGAGAGAGAGAGGAGAGGAAACTCACGGTCAGGAATGGGAACTCGCTCGTGGATTGGGATGCCTTGTTGTACTATCGCGTTATACTTCATGTTGGACATGGACAGCATACGGTCGATCTTTTTGATGCCCAGCCAGTGCAGGATGTCTGGCATGAGAGCTTGGAAGCGCATCTTTGAGATCTGTTAGTCCATGATGGCAAAAATAGTGTCTCTGAGCAAACGACAACATAGGACATGTTAGGGAGGGAGAGAAAGATTCAAAGCTTACATCTCTGACACCAGCAATGGCTTCAGTTCGCTGAAAATACTTATCGGCAGTGTCGCCTCCGCGTTTCCTCGAATTGTACACCAAATACTTGACCACTTCGCCCAGGGCACGGCCTTCCTTTCGAAAATAGATGACCACACCAGAGCCCCCGGCTTGTGCCTCCTTCAGGGCCTCTTCGATCCCAAATGCAAGATACGGGCGACATGTGCAAATGTCTGATTGGAACACGTCGGAGCCATTGCATTCGTCGTGGATGCGAAGAGCCAATTTGACACTCGGGTCCGACACTCGCTCGGGCGGACCGAAGATGTAGACGGTCAGCCCACCGATCGGTGGCAGAAACACGCTCAGATCAGTTCTCGTGATGAATTCCGGGTAGCTTCCCCCAGTGTGCTCGAACAGGGCTCGCCGCAGCGTGGTCTCATCTACTCCAAAGCGCTCGGCCACCCCGGGGAGATACCACACCGGGTCGACAGCGACTTTGGTCACGCGCACATCGCCCGCGTCGTTGAGGACGATTTTGCCGTCCACCTGCAGTCTCTTTTGTCGTAGGGCGTCGGTGATCTCGGCCACGCGCATCGTGGCGCGCGTGATGGCGATGGTGGGGCGCACGTCCATGCCCGCTGCGAGGTGGTTGCCAAAGTACTTGACAATGTCGTGTCCGTAAGGGTCCATGGAGACGATCTTGGTCGGATCGGACCAGGCAGGTTGCGGGGCGAAGTCGAATGTCGGTTGTGTATTTGTGAGGTCGGGGCGGAAATCGCGCGGCAAGTCGCCAGCAGCCACGGCCAGTGCGTTGTAGAAGCTGTAACTCCCGCCGTGGGCGCCGATCGCGTTGCGTCGCTTGAAGCTGTCATGGCTCCGAGACACGATGATCGGCCCTCTTGTCTGGGGGTCTGCGGCGCCCCATTGTAGAGGAATCGGGTCGGCGACGCTCTGCCCCGGGTAGGTGGTCAGCACGACGCGATTGCTGTATTTCTGGGTCAGCGACAGTATACTCGATGAGCTGGCGCTACTGGGTGTGCTTGATCGAGAATGAGAATGCTCTTTCTCGTCGATCGCCGTAACTGTGGCCGTAACGCCGAACGCCATCTTGAGACGTCCAGTTTGTGTCGTCGTCGACAAAAGTGTCTTCGGTCTCTTGGGGCTTCGCTCCTCCAACGATGGGTCGGGCTGGTCGAAGTCCAGGGAATACGCCGTGTTCAGCATTTGAGACAGTCCTAGCGTTGCGAATCATATAGTATAAGAGGGCGACGGACTGTTGTGTCACACTTGGATTCTTGCCGTCCGATGGATCACAAAGAAAAGAGAGTGGATAGGTCATCTGGTGCCTGAAGCAAGACAAATTTGGTGAAGCTGTCGCCGCCATATCTGATAGCCCGATACTGCAGAAACAATCTTTTTGTTTTCTGCCTTTGATCCCCATCATGGGTTGCAGTGGGCACTTTGCAGTGGGAGGATTCTGGTGGGGATCTGTGGAGATGGCCGAAGACCGAAGCGATAAGTAAAGTATCTTCAGTCTTGTCAAAGAACGTGGGTCCAGGTAATACAATTCGGTCGGAGATAGGCAAATACGGTGGCCTCACTAGCCCATTGCTCTCTGGGTTCATCCTCAATTATTCTGATAAGCCGGACTCGGCGCCGTCTTGTGCTCGTCCAATGCTTTCCCGCTAAATTCAAGACTCTGGGCAGAGCGACCCTTACTCCTAGCACCTGGGTCGTCAGTACAATGCCACCACTTGGACTCTCTTTAGGTCTTGCGAGAGCAAAGGACCGGTGTGGAAGTCAGCGCTATATTCTGTATTTTGCGCAAAAACTGTGTATTCTATCTCGTTCTCATCCCTGGGCACACTAATTCCCTCGTCCGTCAGAAGAGCGTCCCATCGCCAGCGATCAATATAGGGCTTGATCTGTTCTTTGGTCGCTTTGTGGCAGCTAGCTCGCGACCGGCTTTCCATGAGCCAGCCTCCAGCATTTGGGCCATACTAATAGTAATTCCTTGAGCTGCAAACTCGTTGGAAACCATCTCATGCAGTCGATCGAGAAGAGCAACTGTCATCGCACGCCACTCGACAATCACATCGCTAGTCGCGTCGTAGGCGGGAAGAATCTGTCCAGACGCCCTCTGGCCCACACTTAGAGTATCTTCTTTCAGAGATAGAACACCCATGTCCACAAACAGACCCCCATTCCGATATTCAGGCAGCCCGGTGCCCAGCTCCATATTCTCCCACCTGGTATGCAGAATCTTCACGAACGGGGTCGTTAACGAATATGCAAGCCACTGAGTCAGCTTGTGAAACGGCTGAATAGCTTCGGCCAGGGTATCGTTGGCATCGGACTGAGACTGTTGCGCGAGAACCTGAAGAGGCCAGGCATCTCCAAGAGGTCGATTTCCAAGGTGTGTTCTGTTTTTTGGCCATGCGGGAAGCAGTAGACGCTGCAGAGCCGACCAGAGGACCGTGTAGTCAAGAGCATCGCCTCCAGTGACCGAAGCGGTCATGTAGTCTAGGAAAAGGATTGCCTTCAATCAGGATTCAAGTCGAACTGACTTTGGAACGCAGGGGTTTGCACCACATACATACCCACAAGGTTCCCTGGTCTCCCCTCAGAGCCGAAGATGTCGGGCAACGAGAGTAGAGATTTGCCAACGTCCCTCAAAAGCTGGATCCGAGCATGCACACCGACCATGGGGTTGCTACTCGAGATCTGAAACGAGGACAGAAAACTCTCCTCGTCGAGGTTAAGCAATGCCCTTCCTAAGTAAAGCGTTCCGTTAGCATTACAACAGCACAATGCAAAACTGTTTCCCACAACAATTCAAAGTACCCACCATCCACAGTGCAAGGACATGCAGGGTTTGACGAGAACGCTCCCGACTCAAACATGTACAGCGAAGCCACCGCAATGCCTTCGGATCGGGTGTACTGGTTTTGCGTGTCTGGCTCCTGGAAGCTCCAAATATCTCCAGCCCCTGCGTCGAGAAGGACCGACACCATGAACAGGTCAATCAAGACCCTCGTCTGTTCCTTGGGGCTGGCCGTTTCTTTCGTCCGGAGCAGCATCCGGGAAATGCGATCGACATTACCAACACCGAAGTGCTGCCAACGCCCATGTGGAGGGATTTCGTGATATCTCTCGGGCCCAAAGTCGCGCTGCACATTCATATTGCTCAGTTCCAATTGCGAGAGGGCTGTTGCCTGTGGGAAACTTGAAAACTCACTGAAATTGTCTCAGCCACCAAACGGGCAGCCTCTGGGAGTCGATCTGCATTGTAATGGAAATGGTTGAGTGTCCCTCTCTGCGCACAATCAAAAACACGATTGGCACGGTCCCTGACCGCTTGTAGGGACACTAAGTATTCGACTTCTGACACCATGTTTATGGAACCTGATAATCTGTATGCCAAAATCCTGAGGAAATTTTGTAAGAGAATAAAGATTTCTGTCTGTGTATGTTTCTACTTCGTCCTCTTCCTCCCGCTCTTCTTCTCCACACAACGCCTACACTATTAGAATAGCTTATATACAGTATGAGCTTAAAAGATCCAGAACGTCGACTTTGTCAGATGAAAAGTGCAAACAGCATCCGATTGTTGCGTCCCTCCAGCGCTCTCTTTTCTTGGTTGACCACAGGATAAGGAATGACTAAGTCAAATCGCCCATGGGACGATGGACAGGTGGGCCCTCTCTAACGGTCTTCTACCCCACACTCAATCTAATGCAAAGGGATGGGCCTGGTTCGGATTGTGGGATTCCTTGAGCTGGACAGATTGCTTATCGCGAATCTAGCCTCGCACTGATATAAAAGAATGTGGGTCTAGAGGACGGGTGGGTCTGTCGCGCCACTGCTATCTCTATTAGTCTCTATAGAGCCTTCCAAATGGAACAATTGAATCCAGAACATGATTGGGTTAGCAATGGGTGGGTACAATTAGGTGCATGTTCACGAAATAGAGAAGGGAAGGTGATCTTCTCCATATTGCCCAAGAAATCGTAAGCTACTGCAAACCATTCTTGACCGGGCGTAGAGATTGCTCATGATATCTTCGGATTCAGAAACCCCCATTGTTTGAATCCTTGTTCCACAAATCCAAAGTTACTGGGTTTCAGGGGCAGAGGACAAAAAGAGACTCACAACCCCAACCAATATACCCTTCTCAGAGAGCAGGATTGAATACAGACAGGGCAGCCTGAGCAAAACCGCCAAATTTCAATTCATTTCCCCAATCCCAAGATGACAGTCGACCCATCCAAGTCCCAGTCCAACATGTCCTACGCAACAAAGCTGTCCCAACTCCGCGATCCCACGCTTCCACCCCGCGAAGTCCGCCGGCTCACATCCGAATTGACCACCATGCTCGCCGAGACGGCCATCGAGCCTCCCTCGGCCAACGAGACGGTGGTGGTTGTGGTCATTCTGCGGTCGGGGATGGCCATGATGGACGCCTTTCTCGCTGCGCTCCCTCCCAAGGCAAACGCAATCGTCCACCATCTGGGCATTTTCAGAGACAGAAAAACACTCCAGCCCGTTGAGTACTACAACAAATTGCCGCCCCGGTCCGGTAGGATCAGACATGCGTATATCCTCGACCCTGTCATTGCCACGGGCGGTACGGCCGAGGCGGCTATTCAAATCCTCAAGTATGTGACCAGTCTGTTCTGCAGCTCGCCGAGTTGCCCCACAAAGTAACAGAGTCTTTTTTTGTGTCTATTCCTTTGCTAACATGCCGTGTGTTTCCCTCTTCTAGAGATTGGGGAGTCGAAAAAATCACCTTTGTATCCATTTTGGCCAGTAACCCTGGGCTGGACAAAGTCGCATCTGGCTGGCCTGAAGGCACGAACTTGGTGGTAGGCGCCGTCGACCCGGATCTGGACAATGAAGGATACGTTCAACCTGGCATCGGCGACATAGGAGATCGATTGTTTGGAACAAATTTGGATTGAAAGTACCAAGGATGGATCATGGAACAGAACAGGCGACAGCAGTACGGAAACAAGGGACCCATGACATACAAAGCTTTCTACGTACGATCGTACCTTGAATTTGATGAGAATTTCCATTGAAAAATCGACTTCTATGCATTGCTGCTCCTTGCGTGCGGGCATTTCTTGTCTGTGCTGAATAGACCAGAGAAACCTTCCACTACAAAAGATCTGGTGGTTCAAGGAATAAGGACCAATTCTTGATTTTTATACTCGAGAACCTCTCCCTACTGGTGAACAGGAGACCAATTTGTTCGTTCGATTCAGTAGAAACTGTCAGTGCCTTTCTCGGCTTTCGATTTCTCAACCCAGGCGTGCAAAATGAATAGATACAACTCAATAACCATCCGCCTCCCAAAGAATAGTCTCGTTACATCATGCTCAACGCTTCAATCACCGCCACAGCGCTGTGACAGTTTTGGGCATTGTGAAGAACTGCCATGGGCTCCGTCCACATACATTGTCTCCCAGGAATGAGTCTTTGTTTGCGGTTCTTGCAACAGGACCCGAGGCCGCCAGGACCGGAACATTAATTCCAATCTGGCCTATGTTTATTTTGCGCTGGAAGATCTGAGCCTGGACAGGATCGGTCGTAAACAGCGAGCACCCGTTGCCGTACCTGTTCTCGTTTGCTATCTCGATCGCCTCGTCCAGGGTGTCCACCTCGATGCACACGAGGACTGGTCCAAAGATCTCGTCCTGGTAGCACTGCATAAACGTCTGCACTTTGGTGATGATGGTTGGCCCGACAAAGTTCCCCTCGGGGTATTCAGGCACACAATAGTTTCGTCCGTCCAGCACGACATGGGCGCCTTCGGCTTCGGCCAGGTTGATCATGTCTTCCACTCTCTCTTTTGCAGCAGCCGTGATCAAGGGACCGACTTCGGTGTCAGGATCAGAACCGCAGCCGACTTTGAGCGACCTGGCCAGCTGGACGAGATCGTCTATCCATGCCTTGGTCGACCCTACGCAGAGCATGACACTCAGCGCCATACACCTCTGGCCCGCGGCCCCAAATGCGCTCCCGGCAATGGCATAGAGAGTCTGTGTCTTTGACGCATCCTCCAGGACGATCCCGTGGTTTTTCCCACTGACTTCGACTTGAATTCTCTTTCTGGTGGCTTTTGCATGCTCGTAGACTCGTTCTCCAGCCAGCTCGGAGCCCACAAAGGACACCGCGCTAACGACAGGTTGCGAGAGCAGCTTTTCCACGGCCCCCGATGATCCGTGAATGATATTGACCACCCCAGGGGGAAACCCTGCCTGCACGAAGCATCTCCCTAGAAGGTTAGCAGTCGAAGGGGCCTTTTCGGAAGGTTTCAAGACCACTGTGTTGCCGGTGAGGACCGCGTAGGGGATCGACCACAAAGGGATCATGAAAGGGAAATTAAAGGGAGTGATGACCACGCAGACCCCGACGGGCTGGTGGATTGTGTAGGTCTCTGTCGAATTGGTGGTCCAGTGCTTGCCATTCATCTCGGCTGTGGCTGAGCACGCAGTGTGGATAGCATCAATTCCTCTCTCGAATTCGGACTCGGCATCCTGCAGTGTCTTGCCCACCTCGAGCTGCAGCGACTGTTGGAAGTCGACTGTGTGCTGCTGCAAAACATGCAGCAGCGAAAAAAGTATGGCTTTCCGTTTCGCTATAGGCAACGACGCCCACGCTGGCTGCGCCGCTTCCGCCACCGTCACGGCTTTTTGGATCTCTGCTGGAGTTGACTCCGGCACCCGGGCGAGCAGCTTCTGTGATGCCGGATCCAGTACCTTCATCCAGACTCTCGTCTTGGACACGCCAAATTCATTGTTGATCAAGTTTTGAGTTGTGGTAGGCGGCGTGGACAGGGCCATTGTGCTAGTGCTTTGATTCAAGGGCACGGTCACCCTGCTGGGGTCGCTGGCGCCTAATCGGGTGCTTGTTTCATCGCTGCGAAGTCTCTTGTGCCGATGGTGATGGTAGGGAGAGTAGTCACCAGCAGTGTCATCCTTGCTGTTGACTACTAGAGACAAAGGCTGCTCTAACACCGTCACCACAGCCGCCACCGTTGTTGCAGAGCTTTGGCCGACCATCGTGTATCATTAGTATCAAGCCTGACATAAAGCCTACCAAACCTATTTTCAAGGCTTCGATCTCTTGATAGCAGCTATCACTATCAAAAGCGAGCGACAGACCACAGATTGTACGATTCGAGTGTAAGATAAGACAAGATGGGGAGCACAACGTGTCAAGGATATGGTATTATAGAGTTCGTCGAATTGGGATCATGGCTCGACCCTTGGCTTGTTCTCCATCTCCTTTCCTTCCTAAAAGTGTTGCCAATACATTCATCCGGGGATCCGGGATCCACCTGGTGGAGGCGTCAATGCTGGGCATGATATGATCCTGGGGAGGATCGCAAAACTCCGAGAAAGCTGGGCCCCTTTGTTGTACGGGATTCACCAATTAGAAATGAGAATGAATGCCCAATGGCATCAAATCTATCAGGAAATTGACAAAGTGTGCATCCAAGGTTCCTGGAGATGTCCTATACAAGGTGACCTCGCAGTGTGAATGGTAAAATGCATGCTGTATACTGTAGAATTGTAATCGCCAATGCTGAGACATCCTCTCACCAATTTCGGCTCACCCAACGTGCTGATCCTAATCCATGCTTCCGGTCTTGCATTGTCACTGTACCAGTGATCTACAAGGCATCCGCTGCCTGCCTGTCTAATTAAACAAAAAGGAGATGCTGCATTGCTTTCACTCAGCTTGGAGAACCTCGTTGCCTAGAAAAAGGGGTTATGTTACTTACGATTCACCATGGTGCGTCCGTCGAATTGCTTCTGCAATGATGCCACTGACGTCGATGGACTCGATTTTTGGACATTTTTGAGCGGCCGGTGATAGAGGAAGGGTGTTTGTGACCACGAGTCTCTCCAAAGAGCTCTCCTCGATCTTCTGGATTGCAGGACCTGAGAGAAACCCATGGACAACGACGGCGCGGCAACTGATGGCTCCGTGGTCCTTCAACACGTCTGATGCCATGATCAGGGTGCCACTGAGTGTGTAGTTAGTACAGGCTCGCTGGCCACGCAGAAAAATGAAGATGAAAAGGATTAGTTGCATGGATATCAAGAAAGACTTACCATGTGTCCGCGATGTCGTCAACAAGAACGGCAGTCTTATTGAGAACCGATCCAAC